TGGAGAGGGGGCGGTGAGTGTGTGTGGTTGAGTTTGTGTGTGCATCCATGCATGCATGGCTATCCATGAGTTTGCATATTTACATCTCCTGCTCATTTTGTCCCTATATAAAAACAGATCAGTCAGTTTAACCTGCCAACCGCTGGGACAGAGGAAAGCACTGATAAAACAAAATGACAGAATTCTAAGTGAATAAGGAAAAATAGACCCCATGAAGACAACCGTGTATAATCAAGAAACAAATTTAAGAAGCATATAATACGATCTGCGCCATTTCCTCCACAGTTACGAGTGTTTTTAGGGAGCAGAGCACGTTATCTGGCATCATCCGGGGGACGCTAATCCGCATGTGCGAAATAAATCCAATCTGACAGCGCCTTTGCATTTTACAACTGGATAGTAACTATAGAGAAACAGTGCTAAGCTTTAACACAGAGAGAGGAGAGATCGGGAGAGGGAGGGTGTGTATGAGGGAGGGAGGGAGAGAGAGAGAACATCAAGTCACCACGATACGCTCCACCATCCACAGACCGTGAGCTACGAGTGTCACAAGGAGACTATATTTTCTCTGAAATAATGGATGGGACAAAGCCGGCCATGGAGGCTAACGCGGAGGAGACTCAGGATGAGGGACAGGAGACCAAAGGTATGCCAAATTAGCCCCTGACACTGGCGCGTTTTTGTGCATTTTCTTTGGAGACATTTGCGTCTGCGCCAGCTCGAGCGGTTTAACCCACTTGCAATGGCTTCTCGCTTGTGCGCGACACAATAGCTGTGCTTTTTCTTTAGCCTCTCACCTATTTGAGGGCAATTTATACAACAATAACGGTCTCTGTAGTGCAGATGACCGACATTATTCATACAATCCTGAGCACAGTTTTACGTGTTCTGTGCTATTTTCTCCGTTCAATTTAATTTGGAGAGATGAGGGGAATAAAAGTGTGTGCGGGTTGATGGGCTGTGAAAGGTGACGTTTTATGGAGCATGTATTAATGCCAATTTGCCTTTACACTGCTGCAGCATCATGAGCTTATTCCTGCCTAATGAGTGGCTGATAAAGGGGCTGTGGAGGCTGTGCGCGCTCCGTGCACGGCGGCATTGTTTTCCGACAGGTGTGGAGCGCCGCAGCCGCCGCGATTATTATCGCATATTCCCCCACAGAGGCTCGGTGTCTGATCTGTCAGGAGCAGGATTAGTCGATGGCGTTGCAGCATATGAAGCCTGGGCTTTGTGCGATCGCAGTGATTAGGTGTGTTTGCAAAGCGGAGGCTGCAAAAGAAACGATCAGCGGTGCGATTGACGCAGAGGGATGGTTGTATCCATCAGGCACAGACATGGTAATGGGTGAATATCCAATTTATAAAGGGTGCTGTGTTTGATCTAATAAGTTGACTCTTAGCCTTTAAATCTCGCAGCATCCCTCTGAGCTGACAACTGTAAATGTCTGGCGCCTTTGCAAAAGAAAATAAGATATAAAAAGCAGCCTAATGTTTTACGTGCACAACAAAGATGAGCCATAAATTTGGTCGACTTAGTCCAAATCAAACCAAGCTGTTGCTGTTTTTCTCTGCTACTGAATCTGTGCTGTGTAGGTGTGCCTCTGTGCTGGAGGTCTTAACGCCCATACAGAGTAGATGTGACTGATGTGTTTTCACTGTAGCTCGGTAGTAAAATCACATCCTTCAGTTTGGAGACAGCAGCCTAGTTAGTGAAGTATAGCTCATTTACAGCAGGCTGTTTATCATGGCCATCTAGTTTATAGATGCACAGCTTCACTTTGATGTATGATTCATGATGATGTACCCTGTCTGTGCGTTATGAACACAAAGAAATTACAATGGAAACAAACTAATCACAGTGATAATTAGTTGTCACACTTTTTTTTTTTTTTTATATTTACAGCTACATTAGTCCAGGGCAGCACTGCAGCTGGTGATGCCTTTTTGCTCTGTTGGCTGTTTACCAAGTCAGAGCCTATAGGGCCCCAGAGGGCTTCACCTCATAGCAACAGCCACTGCTTCCCCTGTTTTCATCTTCCTGTGCTGCAGTTTTCTTTCACTTTCACTTAAAACTGTATATTTTTAAAGTGATTATAGCTTCTGCATTACGAAATTGCATAAAATGTTACAACTGTGGAAGCAATTAATCACAAAGTGGTGTGCTTTTTGGGAGAAATGTTGACTCAATGAATTCTAAGTTTACACTTTTACCATTTAACTTAGGATGGCTACATTTTTAGTCTGATTTTGTGACTTCAAAATCTCAGTCCCAGAGAGCTTTGCCTTTAAAGTAAGTAGCGTCTGCACCACTTCTTGGACCCTGCCATAGTGATATTGCTGGGTCACAGTGTGTCTGTGACGTGGAGCACAGAACAGGGGGGTGTTCCTAAGCAGTAATGTTTTATAAAGACATTACATCATCCTGAGGCACGCTGATTCACACAGGCCAGTGTCCAGTAAGAGCCATTAACTACTTCAACTGGCAAAAGACCTTGAGGAAAGTTGAGGAGGAGAGTGGCTATATCACCATTTTATGTGGAAACAATGAAATTATTGTGGTGCTTTCACCCAGGTCAACATCTGCAGCCTGGACTATTGCCCTCTAGGTGTGACACTGCACAACTGAGGCTGCACACTAGCAACCCAAAACAGAGTTGAATGGATGCTGGTCTGTCTTTCAGTGTAATTATTTGTTTGTGCCTTTGACATCTGGAATGTGACCATAAGCTTATGGCGTCCGTTAAGAAGCTGGAGATTTACAGTGGGGGCGGGAAGAGAGAGCTGTGATGTAAGGAGATGTGTTTGCCAGCGCTGCCTCTTCTGCTTCAGTGCAGCACGTTTCTTATTCAGAAAACGGACGCAGGTGGTGAAATGTAACTAACTGCATGCACTAAAGTACTTTACTTGAGTATTACCATATTACGTTTTCTCCTCTACATGTCACAGGGGAATTTTACTTTTACTTCATTTTAAAGCTGTAGTTACTGTTTAGATTTTATATTACAAAAATTTGTGCATAAAATATTGCAAGTCCTTGGACAGGGTCCATTTTAAAAAGATATAACTCAAATCCTGAGCACCTAGAGGCTGAAAACCAAGCAAGGCTAGGTGTATCAGTTTCTTATCTAACAAAATAAAAGCTTGAGTTCATTGCAGTTGAGTATATTTGTAATACAACTGTGTGGCTCCTTCAAACCAGCTATATAAGCTATTAGTGCTAATCAGCCAAGAGCCAGACTGAGAAATGGGCTGCTCCCATATATTGGCCATTATGAGCAGATTTCATCAACCTTCCCATCAGCACTTGTACTAAAGTGATGCTCGTGGTCTTATGTTAAGCTCTAAAATATCAGTGGGTATTGTTCTGAAAAATCCTGAATCACTCAGGCTATATTGAACCTTATCTTCTGACATTTAAACATGTTTTTCTCTTTCTTTCTTACCACTCTGATATCTGCAGCTAATTAGCTTATCTTAGTTTAGGAACCTCACTATTCATGCTTTGGAAAACACAGGGTAACAGATAATACAGGACGGCGCTCAGGTTAGCATAAAGACTGGAAACAGGGAAACATCCTGTTTGTTAAACCCACAACCATTAGCAAAACCTGTTTTTGTCTAAAACGTATTAAAACGACCACAGTAGCCTGTCATGACATCATGCACCAGCAGCTGCTACATTCATAGTTTTCTGCAAAGAGCATGCTGATTAGCTCTGACTACATTAGCTACTCTAATTATTAAACAGAATCCATGTACTTGATTAAACTGCTATTGTGTCTCTCTGCACGACAGTGAGCTGAGAGTAATTACAAACCGGAAAACGAGCACAGAACACAGGCATGGTTTATAATCCGGAGGAATGGATGCTGGTGGAATGATCTTTTTTCCTAAATGCTTCCTATAATCTCTGATCTGTCTGTAGAGGTACAGAGCGTCAGGACTCGGCTAAGACGTCGAGCGCACTCTCTGAGGTACACTTGAATCTGATTTCATTATTATTATTATTATTATTAGAAAACAAGCTTCCCATGTGCCATATTGTTTTTGCCTTTAATGTGTCTCCCTAAAGCGGCTCTGAGTGTTTCAAAGTGGCCCTGTGTGCATATCAACTTACTGCATCAGTCTGTCCTCCTTTTTATGTTGACTGCCCTGCTCACACACACACACACACACACTTCTTCCCTGGGTATGTGTGTGCCCACTCTTATATAACACAGTGCTGGCTCCCAGACCTTGGTTATGATGTTCAGATCAGAACTGAAGAGATTACATCACCGTCTGGAGGGGTGCAGGTTTAGCTGAATTTTCTGCACGGAAAGGCAGAGCTGCTGCATCCTGTGAAGCACAAAGCGAGTTTTTCCCTCAGTAAAATCTGTGATGTTCAACCTGAGCAGGGGATTAATACAACGTGTTTTCATCTGATACAGACTGAAAGGGGGAGGAATTGGAAATCTTTGAAGGAATAGTTCAACATTTTGAGAAATATGTTTTTTTTACAGAGATACTTAGATGAGAAGATCAATACCACACCCATCAGTTCACGACAGCTATAATCAGTTAAATTAGTTTAGCACAAAGACTGGAACCAGGGTGTTCAAAGGTAACACAATCCACCTACCAGCACCTCTAAAGCTCATTAATTAACATGTTATACCTCCTTTGTTTTGTCACCAAAAAGACTGAACAAATGAGACACAAAGTATTAATTAGTGGGTGGTTTAGGGTTGGTGATGGACCCTCAGACGGAGATTGGCACTTCCAGTCTTTATTCTAAAATAAGATGACTCTAATACGCCGTAAACCCACTGGATTGCATTTATATCACATTTACATTTCAGTAGTGATTGGTAGATTAAGAGGACTGTTCATTACCTCCCTGCTAAAGGTAAATAGATGATTTCAACTGGACACTTCCTTGTTGCTGCTGTTGCCGTTTTTCTAGTTTTTGCACCTTTTTTTTTTTTTTGCTAAATTTTGGCTATTTTTACTTCCTCAGGCTTCTTCAAATGAAACAGTCTGTAATAGAAAAAAAATGAGTGATTAACCTTAGGAACAGTGACGAGGGTTTGCAAAGAGACACTTGTTTGTTTTAAAGGGTCAGAAGCCACATGTTTAGGATCTACTGCGTTAGTCTGAAAATTAACTGTAAACTATTTTAATTTTCGATTAATTTTTACAACCTCTCACATGTGAACACAGGCTGCATTTTTATGATTGTAAATGGAATTTCTTTGGGTTTTCCAATCATATCAAGGCCAGGAACAAATAGTACATGAGGGAGAGTGATATATGAGAAGAAAGCTTCATCAGTAAAGTCCAGCTGAGCCCAGGTCGAGGCCTTGAATCTAAAGGCCAACCCCTATTTGATGATTTTCAGTGGAGCGAGGTGCCAGGAGAAGAGCTGGGCTGGTCTCCTAGCTGGAGCTGACATTTGGTTTGCATTGCAGATAAACACTGGGGAGGGTCCCTTCCCTGCTCTCATCACCTTACTGTGCTCAGCTATGACCTGTTTCATTTGACAATAATGATTGCTGATGTTTTAAGAGTGAATAATAACCTGGAGTTTTTTATTTACCCGAATATGCAATACATCGGTATGCTACTGTATTTAAACTTGTTTCAAGGATGAAAAGTGACAGCAAATACTTGGAGGTGGCCGGCGGTGGCTTCTTTTTTCAGTGAACTTGTTGCCCAGGCTGTGCATTATCCTCCCGTGTAATTCGCTTTACGAGTCAAAGCAAAGCAATGCAGCCACATACACAAATCTTAAGAGGCTGCATCTCCACACTCTTTAAGGAACAAGAGCAAACAGAAAGCCGCTGGTTCTTCAGCTCTTCAGGGCAGAAACCATGTAAAAGTCATGACTTATCTTCCACACACACTGTAGCTTTGTTAATGGCAGAACTGCACAATATCCAGATATACCCCTCTCTTTTCTCCATGTTAGTCAAAAATGGACACCTGTGACATCTTAAAATATAAAATCTAGTAACATACCAGACACCAAATTGTTTAGCCGACTATGATGTGTGGTTGCTGCTGGTGGAACCAAACACAAAAGCAAACCTGACATCTTCTTTCACAGATTTTACTTCCTGTGGTAAAATTGATTTGGACATTTTCAGTTGGGACAAACTGGTGTTGCTGCTTTTCTCCCTCACACACACACACACACACACACACACACACACACACACACACACACACACCCCCTCACACACCCACAATCTTTCTTTCAGTCGCTGCTTTTCTCCCTCACACACACACACACACACACACACACACACACACACACACACACACACACCCTCATACATGCATGAACTTGCTTTCACTGGAATCAGACTCAGGCTTGACTTATAACAAATAACCACCTCCCACTGAGGCTGAAACAGTTTCTCCAGTCTCACCTCTTTGAACTGTTGAAGGATGTCAAGAAACCGTTACAGGAACCTTTCACTATTGTCTGATGTTTTGCAGACTTCATTAAAAAAGAAAAATCAAAAGAAATTGATAATGAAACTAATAGTGCAGTCCAGGACCGAAGCAACAGATTAGATGAATTTAGATAAAAGTGCACAAGCTACCACAAAACAGCATCGCTCTCATCACTACATCTATGTTTGTGCCCCAGTCTGGTGTGGGTATATGAATAGCAGCAAGTGGCAGGTTGGCCCAGCAGGCCTTGTTCCTGAGTAATGCCAACCTCCTCTGGCCTTCCTCCATCACCCACTGATGCCCAATCTGCTCCTCTCATCCACAGCCCATAAAATGCCTGATGCCGATTAGCACCCCTCATCATTAACCATGGCTGACATTGATAAATGACTGTGTCTGGATGATGTGTAGGTCATTCTGTGTTTCAGTTCTTTAAGGCTGCTAGTGTTGGGTCATATATGACATTATATATTTGTTTTGAAAAGGCCCACTTAAAAGCTGAATATCTGATAAATCAACAGCAAAGTAAAAAATGAACTCTAAAACTCAAACTGATCTGTTTTTCATACAGTTTTTCCTTAATATTTGATCAATTATAAGATTAAAAACCTAACAATGTGAAGGTAGTTCACAGAAGGTGCTGCTTGTTATAGTAAATGAAACCCTCCTTGTGCCAACCACACACACACACGTGATGTTCATCAAGCTCCTGAGGCTGCTGGAAAGTGAATTTTCTTAGTTGTTGCGTTAACCAGTTCTTCTTACCTTTGCTAACTCTGAGAGACGAGACAGTCCAAGTAACTTCAAAACAGTGCTGATTTATTCAAAGGATCACAGGTAAAATTAACATTACACGCTCAGGTATCTTGCACCTCCAAACTGCTCCCAGGCAGATGTAAGATGAAAGACCCTGAACCCACCAGGCCTATACATGATATCCCTTCGGTTGGGCTAGCCCCATACTACCCAGAAACGTCAACCGAGACGTCTCTGTTGCCAGCTTTGCAGCTGGCCATAGCAGTAGTCAAAACATGAAGCAAATCAATGTGCGTGTGTGTGTATCTGTTGATTAAGTGGTGTGTAACTAAAAACATTCTCACAGACTTCTAGTACATGTCGTGACTTAAACATAAGAACATATTATGGCTAAGGCTACAGTTATACATGTCATAATAATAATATTAAACACCCTGTCTGCTGACAGTCATCAGCTCTTCTCTCTAGTATCCTTGACCAGATGTATCCTGTAGAAACTCATAAGCATGACTAAGCATTTAACAGTCTAACTAGACATCCTATCTCCACTAAACATTTCTAATACATAAAGTATCTATCCAATTTCTATCTGACTAAAAATACCTAACAGGGTGGAGCAGAAACAAAAGGGCCAGAGGAGTGCCACCGAATTCTGAGACAGCTCAGGGAAAGTAGCATTAGCCAAGTTGGTTGTGTAACAGCTGAGCTATTCAGTTCGATGGCACGACACCTCTAGCCACAGGGGCCATTGTGCATTTTGGGGGAACAAAACTAAAACTAATAGTGCTCACTCCGCTGAGCCAGCAGGCGGCACCTCAGGACATGTGGTCCTGCTGCACAGAAGAGACAAGAGAGTTTTCACAATCGGACCAGTCAGTGAACTACTAAGATCTAGTCACTGCACTCCAAAGCCTGGCATGATTAACTAAATTCACTGAATGTTTTGCTGTTAATTGTACAAAATATGTTGATCCTAATGGAGCCTGACAGGAAACATCAGGTGTGTTACGCTGCACCCTTCATTCCAGGCAGCTCTGGAGAGTGGGGCTCTCTGGCCTCACCTCACTTCACACCTAATAAACACCTTAACTCACCCACAGAACAGATGAAGATTTAATGTTTAAGTGTGTGTGTGAAATTAACTTTTTGTTGTGGTCTTGAATCTGATGTTTTACTGAGTAATTTCTGTCACTGCAATGCAGAGGTTGCCATTGCTAAATATGGCGGGTGAGGCGCCCACATGTCAGCACCAGATGAACAGTTTGTGTGCGTTTCTCATGTTTCTCTGCATCTGTGTGTTTCTACAACCCTCACGTGTGCCCCAGCTGTTTATATGTGGGTATGCTCAGTGTGTGTCGGGGGACTTGAATCCGTCACGCAACTGAACTCTCGTTCAGCCCAAACTGGCCACTGACACAGAGAGAGATGACCAACATGCAGCAGATCATTAGGATAAAAGTATTGATCACACAGCAGAGCGCAGAGGATGGGATTTTAGAGCTGCTTGGTTACGCCGGGCCAGATGCTGACCCTCTGGCCTTCATAATGCTGCATAATCATCCAAGTATTTCTCATAAACAAAAGATTAGGGTCAGTTAAGTATTGGGGGGGTTGAGAATGATGATAGATGTTGGCAGAATCATCATTTTCTGCTTTGTATCGACAATAATATCTTTGGATTTTGGACCACTGAGGCTTGTCAATGAAACTGCAGGCGGAGACCAGACCGGCCACTAAAATATTCAGAAAGCTTTATTAATGCTGTTATTCCTGGCAGATGCACTGTGCCCAACAGTTGGCGATAATCACGCTGTGCCACTGGTTTGTACAGTTTATGGCAAACCATTAAGTATCAGGAGAGTCGATATAATTACTCTCTCTCTGATTTATAGGAATGGCAGAAAGGAAACCATGTTGGCAGAGAAATACAGTCTGACAATATGATTCAGAGAGAGCAGGTGAACACTGCTGCTAACAGAATGGTTATTTTCAGTGTCCGGTTCATATTTAACTCAATTAGTTTGTGATGCATGGTTAATCTGTTTCTTTTTAAAATGCACATGGTACAATTTTAAACATGGTGACAATGGCGTACATAAGGCGACATGTATTTGAGGAGTTCTTTCATGGAGAACGCTCCTCACTTCACGTTGTGGGTGTCAGGTGACTGACAGCGAGCACAGTACACAAAGGATGTCAGCAATCAGTGACAAGTTCTGTCTCCAGTCATGTCTACACTGGGCCATGCCTCATTTATCTCTTGTCCAGTAACTTGGAAGACTTATATTGTGTGCATTATCTGCTGCTGTGAAAAATGGTTTTTAGATGACACAAACTGCTATTTTGTGCAGACTACCAGGAATAATGCTGAATAAATATGAAGGCATTCATTTAAGTTGGAAAAACATGCTTCATATTTTGTCCAGCACCACAGTTTGTGAGAAATCTGTGACTACTGCTGGTTGTGTAACTTTGTAAAATATTGCATAATGTCAATGCATCTGCAGCTTTTGAAGTGATGGCAGAAAAATCAAGCCAAAAACTCATCTGTATCACTGTGTTGTAATAGGAATTATTTAGCTGCCAGCATTTCATTCAAAATTTAGCTGGCATATGTGGGAAATCTGTTGGACTTTTTGCTTATTTAGCTGCCAGCATTTCATTCAAAACCTTGACTTTCCCACATCTCCCTTTCTCATCTGTTTGACTTGTCTTCGCAAGAAGGAATAAAGGTACAGCGTCTCCTCAGCTCCCTCCTGTATAACCTGTTGTGTGTTTGTTATTTTTTTGGTCAAATTTCTGACCATTGTCACCATGTAGCCCAATCTTTGGGCTGTGATTGCCATTACATCACTCTGCATCAGCATGTGTGTGTGTGTGTGTGTGTGTGAGGAGATGAAAGTGGCTGCGAGGCACTACACTACCATTGAACTGGGTTGTGGGTAACATGTTGCTATGGCAACTGCTATTTGCCAGCCCAGGGGCCAAGAGCTGCTTTTCGCTTACACGTTCTTGTTTCATTTCGCCTGCTCTGCCTCTTTCCTCCTTTGCTCAGCTTCCATCGATCCCTCGCTCAGCCTTGGTCTCCATTCACCTCTGCTTTCCTTTTTTTGCGCTCTCATACTGAAGGAGAGCAGGCATGTGTTATCTTTCTTTCGCACAACTGTCACCCACAGCTGCAAACTGAAATCCTAAAGCAGGGGAACAGCTTCTAGCTTTGTCCTGCGGGCCACAGCAGCTCTTTTGGAGGGAAATTTAAGAGCAGGGGATGCTAATCCTTAATTGCAGATCTTGCCTGTCAGAATTTTTGTTGTTCTATTTTTAATCATAGTAGCAGAAAGTACAAAATCTTTTATTTCACATTGGTGAGGTGCTGTTCAGCTGCCAAGGACTGTTGTTGAGATGATAGATGATACAGCATTGTAACATTTTTTCTCAGCGATTAACTCCAGCTGGCTCGCTGTACTGTAAGTACAGCATGGGCATGCAGTCATATTTCAAAGAAAGAGTAGAGAAGAAGAGAAGCAGGCCAAGGCAGAGGCATAGGTAGCGAGATGCAGTGAGGTATAAAATGAGAGCGATGGCCTGGCCTCAGTGTGTCACCTAAATTCTACTCTAATGAATAGCCCATTGATTTCCATTAGGGATGGCTGGAGCTGACCACTCTGGCCTGTCTGGTTCCCATTAGCACACTTTAAAACAGAGGCTGACAAACAGCTATACCCACAGGCAGACCGGATGACGGCTCCATGAGGTGTTTAAAAGGAACCTGTCAATTCATCCGTGGAGCCCAAGAATTGGAAAGAGTTAACAGCAGAACTAATATAAGCTTTAAATACCACGCGTGCTGTCTTGATTTAGTTTTTTGTTAGCTTTTTTTTTATACAAATGATGATGACGTGTTACCACCTTAAAAAAAGGTACAGTCAAACTTTGTGAACATTAAGATAACATCCCCTGGAAGTTCTTGATTTGCATTTGAAAATGCAGGATTATTACATCTGAGGGTCAGGTTTTATTCTCTGCTCTAAATAAGGAATGACAGGAAGGCTAACCTGTTGAGACGAACCGTTCATAGCAGGATGGACGTGTCAGTGCAGAGCAGCTTTTAAACAGTCATTACTGTATTGACCAGTGAGTGCACCATCCCCCTCGGGGCCTGGCCTGTTTCTCAGCTCAGGATTTTAGAGCCACCCGGTCTTTATCAGCTCCACCTCTCCATCAGCCGGCTTCCTTCATTAACATTAATAGTTCTATTATGCAACAAGCCTTGGCTGTGTTAGGTAACACTGAGTCTTCACCAATAGCAGTGCTGCTTGGAGGGAAGCCATTTAGATTTGTGGTTTGGGTTTTTCATTCACTCAGACATGGACTGTTGGGGAATTCATAATGTACATAAAAATCACAGCATTTAGGTTTAGTAAGTTGCCGTTTTCCTCCCCGCAGGGATGCTACTGATGATTTGCCTCTGCCTCAGTGGAGCTGAAATCAATCTGCTCTTTTCGTTTATCAATAATCACTGTCCATAGTCTTGTACTGTATAGAGTATGAGAGGACAGCCTATACTTTTGGTGAACCAAGCCTGGGAAAGCCTTGTGTAGTGTCTGTATGTGTATGTGTATGGGAGTGTGTGTGTGTGTGTGTATATGTGGTTTAATTGCTTTATGTGGGAGAAAATTACCTCATGTTGTCAGCTGACTATCTATTGATTAAGTTTGATGTTGATAAAAGATGTCAGAGGGTCTTAGCTCCTGTCTGTGTGGATGTTAAAGTGACGCTCATGGTCTCACAGGATCACCGGTCATATACAGTACGTGTTATTCTCTAATGCTTGGTATCACTTTGGAAGCCGAGGTTGTCAGAACAGATCATTTCATATCTACAGGTCTGAAATATATTTAATGCAGTCAGTTGTGTTTTAAAGGCTTTACAAATAGAAATGTTTAGGTTTAACAAACTTCAACATGAAATAATGATGTTTCAGAGCTGCCAATTGGAGCAGGTTGTCATGGAAACAGTAAAGTGGCACACACAAGACAGTTCATTTTGTCTTTTTTCTTTTCCCAGAGTAACTTCCTGTTATGTTGGAGAAGCTATTTTTAACAGCCGTTATATAAGATGCAACTCTTTGCTCAATACAGTGTGTTATCTCTCCTCCGTTTTATCCTCAGATGCAGGATGCACCACATTTTCAGTACTGGCATAGCCCAAGCCCATAACACACAAGGGAACATCACACGGCTGCCACGGTTAATGAAAAGCAAATGTACTAATTCATCATTGTTCTGTAGAAACAGCTTGAACACAAGAGATAATATTTGATCATTCATCATCATTTTGGAGCTGTGAAAATGATTTGAGACATTTTGTTTAGTTTTAGTCTTTATTTTAGTTCCTCTTAAAATATTTCCATCAGATTTGCTCTTGCACCAAAAGCCCAAATAAATTATCACTTTCACCTGCAAGAATAATGGCATCTAACAGGCATTCTGGGTATTTTAGAGGTAGGAATCTTAACAAGCGTCAATTAAATGTCACCTCCCTACAAAATACCTAGATCATTCATTTTACAGCAGAAGTTACTGGTGCAACTTCACCCACTGTCAAGGTACACAAACACAGGAAAAACAAACTGGAAAGCAAAAAGTCCAACAGATTTCCCACATATGCCAAAAGGCACTGGTCTTTTACCGTTGCATTAAAGTTGCTTGGAACACTGCAAGCGCTGCCAAGACTTTTTGCTTTCTAGAATCATTTATTTTGAAATAAGTTATGTAGGATAAAGATGAGTTATTAATGTGATCTAGTCATAAGAAAGAAAAAAAAACACGAACTGTTTCTTAAAAGACAAAATGGAGACAGCATGTAGCATAACTTGCATGTAATATTCAACACTCCCAGCTGAGCTCAAAGTGAACGCTTTACATGCCTGTCAGGGAGAAATGCTGTTCTTCTTTGTCAAGTAGAGAGGTGGGAGTTACGCTGATAGTGTAGACATGCACCAATGAGGTATCTGCATGATGCAAATCAAATGGCAGTGGACAGGAGGCCGTCAGGTATTGCACCGAGTTTCATCGAGCACACTGTCTGCAGTCTGCTCTGTTCACTTTTGGTTTGTGGATGGGCTTTTTGCCATTTGTGCACTTTGAAATTTGACCTAAATTGTCTGTTCTTGTATCCTCCTTAAAGCTCTTTTAGCTGCAGAGCAGATAAATGCAACAGGAGTGTCTGTATGCCTCCATGTCATCCCTCTGTCTCCCGCTGCAGGATGCTTCGAGTGCTGCATCAAATGTCTGGGCGGGGTGCCTTACGCCTCGCTGGTGGCCACCATCCTCTGCTTCTCAGGTGTAGCTCTGTTCTCCGGCTGTGGACACGTGGCATTGACCGGCACCCTGACCATGGTGGAGAACCACTTCTCCAAGATCACCAGTGACCACGCCACCCTCGCCACGGTGTAAGTCCTCAGGGTGGGCTGAATACTATTGAAATCAATCTAGCTGACAGTTAAAGTACAGTTTATAGAGCTGTACAAGCACTATAGAAACTGCCTATACACATGCTTACAGTAAGTGTAAAAAAACCACACAATCTGAAACCCGTGTCCCATCATGAGCACTTTCAGTACTTTCTATGCAAACACTAGTGTGGCCAGAATATACTGGTTCTACTGTATCTCTGCACTTATTAAATCGGTTGAGGAGAGGCACCCACATTATCTGCCATGATTCACAATACTCTAAAACTACGAAAGGTCTTTTAAATCTGTAAGAATTTACAGAAGGAGAGTAGCTGAAAATACACTGTAATGGAAAGTGGTGTTTACACCGTCTCAAAGTTATACACCGAGGACATTTCTTTGAAAATGGATCCTGCTGTCACACAGTGTGACACTATGCTTCTCTTACTATACTGGCTACAGAATCGATTGTCATTATTAAAGTCAAATCAAATCAAATTTTATTTGTATAGCGCCAAATCACAACAAAACCTTAGAAATCAGGGACTCAGAGCATCATGGGCCCCCCAGCAGCCTAGGCCTATAGCAGCATAACTAAGGGAGGGCTCAGGGTCACCTGATCCAGCCCTAACTATAAGCTTTATCAAAAAGGAAAGTCTTAAGTCTAATCTTAAAGGTAGAGAGGGTGTCCGCCTCTACTGCTGTGTCTGTACTCTGGCTGCAGCATTTTGGATTAACTGGAGGCTTTTTAGGGAATTATTGGGACATCCTGATAGTAAAGAGTTACAGTAGTCCAGCCTGGAAGTAACAAATGCATGGACCAGTTTTTCAGCATCACTTTGAGACAGGATGCTCCTAATTTTTGCAATATTGCGCAGGTGAAAGAAGGCAGTTCTAGAGACTTGATTTATGTGTGATTTAAAGGACATATTCT